ACTATTAGACGATAGTTTTAATTATTTTTGGTCCTTAAAAAGTTCACAAAATATTGGCCTTTTTGCTAAGACTATAGCCTTGACTTTTTAAGGACCAAAAATAATTAAAACTATCGTCTAATAGTGATATTTCCCGTTAGTGTCGTCTCTAGTATATCTAAAGAGAGAATTATTAGCAGCAGGAGTCAGGAAAGACAGACAAAATTATTAATGAAAACGTCAAGGCTATAGTCTTAGCAAAAAGGCCAATATTTTGTGAACTTTTTAAGAACCAAAAACGATTAAAACTATCGTCTAAGAGTGATATTTCCCGCTAGTGTCGTCTGTAGTATGTCTAAAGAGAGAATTATTAGCAGCAGGAGACAGAAAAGAGAGGCAAAATTATTGATAAAAAAGTCAAGGCTATAGTCTTAGCAAAAGGGCCAATATTTTGTGAACTTTTTAAGGACCAAAAATAATTAAAACTATCGTCTAATAGTGATATTTCCCGTTAGTGTCGTCTCTAGTATGTCTACAGAGAGATTTATTAGCAGCAGGAGTCAGGAAAGAGAGGCAAAACTATTAATGAAAACGTCAAGGCTATAGTCTTAGCAAAAAGGCCAATATTTTGTGAACTTTTTAAGAACCAAAAACGATTAAAACTATCGTCTAAGAGTGATATTTCCCGTTAGTGTCGTCTGTAATATGTCTAAAGAGAGAATTATTAGCAGCAGGAGACAGAAAAGAGAGGCAAAATAATTGATAAAAAAGTCAAGGCTATAGTCTTAGCAAAAGGGCCAATATTTTGTGAACTTTTTAAAGACCAAAAATAATTAAAACTATCGTCTTATAGTGATATTTCCCGTTAGTGTCGTCTCTAGTATGTCTACAGAGAGATTTATTATTAGCAGGAGTCAAGAAAGAGAGGCAAAATTATTAATGAAAAAGTCAAGGCTATAGTCTTAGCAAAAGGGCCAATATTTTGTGAACTTTTTAAGGACCAAAAATAATTAAAACTATCGTCTAATAGTGATATTTCCCGTAAGTGTCGTCTCTAGTATGTCTACAGAGAGATTTATTATTAGCAGGAGTCAAGAAAGAGAGGCAAAATTATTAATGAAAAAGTCAAGGCTATAGTCTTAGCAAAAGGGCCAATATTTTGTGAACTTTTTGAGGACCAAAAATAATTAAAACTATTGTCTAATAGTGATATTTCTCGTTAGTGTCGTCTCTAGTATGTCTACAGAGAGATTAATTATTAGCAGGAGTCAAGAAAGAGAGGCAAAATTATTAATGAAAAAGTCAAGGCTATAGTCTTAGCAAAAGGGCCAATATTTTGTGAACTTTTTAAGAACCAAAAACAATTAAAACTATCGTCTAATAGTGATATTTCCCGTTAGTGTCGTCTCTAGTATGTCTACAGAGAGATTTATTATTAGCAGGAGTCAAAAAAGAGAGGCAAAATTATTAATGAAAAAGTCAAGGCTATAGTCTTAGCAAAAGGGCCAATATTTTGTGAACTTTTTAAGGACCAAAAATAATTAAAACTATCGTCTAATAGTGATATTTCCCGTAAGTGTCGTCTCTAGTATGTCTACAGAGAGATTTATTATTAGCAGGAGTCAAGAAAGAGAGGCAAAATTATTAATGAAAAAGTCAAGGCTATAGTCTTAGCAAAAGGGCCAATATTTTGTGAACTTTTTAAGGACCAAAAATAATTAAAACTATTGTCTAATAGTGATATTTCCCGTTAGTGTCGTCTCTAGTATGTCTACAGAGAGATTAATTATTAGCAGGAGTCAAGAAAGAGAGGCAAAATTATTAATGAAAAAGTCAAGGCTATAGTCTTAGCAAAAGGGCCAATATTTTGTGAACTTTTTAAGAACCAAAAACAATTAAAACTATCGTCTAATAGTGATATTTCCCGTTAGTGTCGTCTCTAGTATGTCTACAGAGAGATTTATTAGCAGCAGGAGTCAGGAAAGAGAGGCAAAATTATTAATGAAAAAGTCAAGGCTATAGTCTTAGCAAAAGGGCCAATATTTTGTGAACTTTTTAAGGACCAAAAATAACTAAAACTATCGTCTAATAGTGATATTTCCCGTTAGTGTCGTCTCTAGTATGTCTACAGAGAGATTTATTACCAGCAGGAGTCAGGAAAGAGAGGCAAAATTATTAATGAAAATGTCAGGGCTAAAGTTCTAGCAAAAGGGCCAATATTTTGTGAACTTTTTAAGAACCAAAAACAAATAAAACTATCGTGTAATAGTGATTTTTCCCGTTAGTGTCGTCTCTAGTATATCTAAAGAGAGAATTATTAGCAGCAGGAGTCAGGAAAGACAGACAAAAATATTATTAAAAAAGTCAAGGCTATAGTCTTAGCAAAAGGGCCAATATTTTGTGAACTGTTTAAGGACCAAAAACAAATAAAACTATCGTCTAATAGTGATATTTCCCGTTAGTGTCGTCTCTAGTATGTCTACAGAGAGATTTATTAGCAGAAGAAGTCAGGAAAGAAAAGCAAAGTCATCAATGAAAAATTTAAGGCTGTAGGCTTAGCAAAATGGTTTATTTTTAGTTATCTACTTAAATTACAAAAACAAGTAAAACTATCATCTAGAATTGATTTTTTCCGTTTCTGTCGTCTGTAGGATGTCTAGAGAGAGATTTATTAAAACAGTTGTCAGTATACAAAAGCAAAATTTTGATGAAAATATAAGGTTTTAGGGTTAGGAGAATGGTTGATATTTTCAGGTTCTCTACATAGAAGTTTATTACCAGCAGAAGTCAGTAACGAGAAGCAACAATTTTAATGAATAGGCATATGCGAAATGACTGAATTTTTGTGGAAATTTTCGGTACAAAAGCCAAGAAATTGACTTTCTTTGATCAAGTGCAGACTTTTTACAATCAGGGGTTGATTAGAAAGAGATTATGTTAGGAGCAGGGTCTCCTAAAAGAAACAAAATTGTCACTATGATTGCAAAATGATATATGTTTTGTGAAATAAGACCGGTACAAAAAGCAAAAAAATAGCTAGGGCCATCGTGAGGCAAGCCTTGTTGGGGGTTGGGGGTTGGGGTGCGGACTAGAAATTTACTTGGTTAAAAAATTCTTGCCTGAATTTTTTTATTCACCTTCGCAAACCTTTGCAATATATTTTGTCAATCTATCTCTGTATATAATTAGCAACTATTTATTTTCATACGATAATAGCCGGCTTTCGTAATAATTTTGTCAAATCTCTATATCGGAACGGGCAAAGGATATAGCTACTGCAGGAAATTTTCGAATTTTGATGCTTTTAGTTCACTGGAAAATGCACTATTTTAAACATATTTCATTAAAGCAATCCTCTTAACCCTATTGAAAATTATGTTTTTGCAAACGGATTGAACAGCAGATCAAAATACTGGTACAATTTCGCCGTGGTCTTGAAAATACTATGTTGCCGCGTTACTTCTAAAGCTAGGTAACAGGAAGAACTGGTTGTTAAAAGAGATCCCTCTTTCCATCTTAGCATGCCTTTAATCTGGAGCTCATAGTGAATTTTACCTAGACACAATTTTACCTAAAGAGGGCCTAGATTTTTAAATTTAGTGCCAACAAGAAATCTTCAAATCTTCAAATCATTGGTTTGTTACCTTCATTCATATCAAGGGATATCATATTTAACCAACGGAGCAACTACCTTTGCTTGTTCCTTTCTTGACTTTATGACATGAAGGTCTCTGAAATATCTAAAGCGTTTCTTCCACCGAGCGGATTTTACCTGAAATTTCCTATTGAGTTACTATTGGGTGACACCCCCCACACCCCCTGGTCGCAACGCCCCTGAAAATAGCCTTATATATGGATCTATTTTGGAGGCTCTTATGGCTCTAGGTTGATAAGAAACAGATTCAATTAGAAGCAGGACTTAGTCTAGAGAGTCAAGTAGCCCAAAGGAAAGGCGGATGGCCTCTTAAAGTCATAGCGAGATTTTCCTTCGAAAGAGAAGAGTGCTCGATTTCAAATTGAGGAGAAGTCACATGATAAAAAGTTGCTTGCATTCCTGTGCGAGTGAAATTCGCAATCTTGTGACTATCGCTATTCAAGTGTTCGCCTGAGTTAGAAATGGGGTAAAGACTCCCTCTTTCATCACTAGGCCTAAATGAAATGTCATTTAAAATAAACACGAAGGCCCCAAGGAACGCCCCAAACAATATTGAAGCGAGCTTCACGAGTCGACGAGCGCTAAGAATATACAGAGCCCCATGAGTCAACAAGTGCTGGAAAGTACATTGTTAAAATACCTGTATGTTTGAATTTTGATTAAAAAGGAGAACTTCTGGGAGTAGCCCATGAATGTGTCAACGAGGAACATGAATAGGTAAGGGATAGCAGAAATATATTGCTGCCAAACTTTAACTGGTAATTGAGAACAAAAACGTGAATAAAGAACAAAGCTTTTAGAAAAGCCTGCGAAATATTCAAACGAGCCTCATGATTAAAAGATGAAATAAAGGTAGATGAAATTTAGAGATAAAAAAAACAAATCAGTAACGTGTGAAAATATTTAAACACGGACCAAAAACACACAAAAGCTTTCATAATTTATTTAAATGAGCGAAAGAGTAGCCCACAGTTAATTTATTTCATTGCTTTACGGACTGAGCAAAACGAAAGAAGAATTTCACCCTTGGTCAAGAGTGAATTTCAGACACGGAGAGTCAGGGGCGCGATATAACAAAATACGTTGACAATGCTTTCTCAATATGATATGAAAATAATCATGCTGAAAAAATAAAGGCAGTCACAAACAGAAAAAAGTTGCTTTAAGGTTGAAGCAATCATATTTCATTGCATGTTTTAAATGGCAACCCCATTCATGGCAGTGGCAGAATCGCGTCGCCTGCTCCCAACAAAACAACGCGCAAAGTTTAGACAAAATGTATACGCGATTAATGCTAGTCCATATGACAGCAAATTGAAACAAACATTAATTCAACAGCAACTCATGATGCCAAAACTTTACTTACATGCAACATTTTGTGGCAGCAGCGAAGGGAGCAGCAAACAAACCATCAGCAATCACATCGCAGCCGGTTTGTCGTTGCAATTCCTAAAAGTGTTTGAAAAACAGGAAGGCGTTCGTTATAAAACAGGTCGAAAGATGCAGCCTAACTTCGAACAACGTTTCGTCATGCATTTATTAATTACTCGATAAGGATAAGAAAGAAGAAAAACATTACGCCGCAAACTCACCCGTCATCAAAACCCTCTCAATCGAAGCTCCCTTGCTTTCTTGCTTCAGCAAAATCACGCATTGTCAAATCGACAATCGCGCCGTTCGATTAGGTCGTGGAGTCGTGTTCCCTTTAATTCATTGTAAATTTTGGCAAATCAAACAGCAAGATTTCTTGTAATGCAGAACGTTTTTCAGACCCGTTTCGCCCCAGAAAACGCCAAATATATCGAGAACCAATCTTCCTTCCAGCTTCATTTTCAAGCCTTCCCGGGAAATCTGCCCTGCTCTTCGAACAGGGGAGAATTGTCTCTGACTGCCCCTGTAAATTGGTGCCTCATTTGCATATCCGAATTTTAATATTTGTAGAAAATAGTCGTGATAGAGTAAAGCTATAAGCTTTGCAAAACGATCGAAATTTCGATAAGATTAACTGTACAAAATGCATTAAAAAGTCTTATATGAGTCATATTCCCAGATTCTCTTGTTTCCAAGATATCTACCTATATAGAGATTTATAAGCAGCAGGAGTCAGCTTTCACAGAAATTTCATGAAAAGACGATAGCATATGAACGTTTCTCATAAGCATATGTAGCTACGTTGCGTGTGGTACTTCATCCAATGAAAAACCAAGAAGTGGCCCTATATTATCCACTTATGATCTTAGGGTTTATTACGATTATAGATTGATTAAGGAAGATAATGTATTAGAAGCAGGAGTTTGTTTAGAGAGACAAATATTTCTATTAAATAGCAAGGCTATAGGCTTAGCAGAATGGTCGATATTTTGTGATTTTTTATGGAACAAAAACAGGTAGAAAGAACCTTCTAGGAGTGATATTTCCCATTTCTGTTGTCTCTGGGATGTCTACAGAGAGATTTATTAGCAGCAGGAGTCAGTTTAGCAAGAAAAAAATTTCATGATAAAGAAAGGCAATTGGCTTTGCCAAATGAACGATATTTAGAGGAGCTTTAAATGTATAAATGATTGAGAAATATTTTTATTTAAGTCATATCTTCAGTTCTTCTCGTCTCTGGCAAAGCTAAAAAGAGAATTCTATCAGCAGGAGGAGTCTGTTCAGGGACACATAATTTTTCATGAAAATGAAAGGTGTCTGCATAGAGATCTTATCTTATTACCATTTCGAGACAAAGGTAAGTCGTTGGGTTCTTGAAATTGATAGATTTCTTGTAAACATGTCTATGCGAGAGGATTTAAAAGAATCTACCTGTTACTTACACCATTTTCACCATTTTCACCATTTCAATATATACATGTTTAGTTTATACATCAGTAAAAGGCATGCTTGAAACGAGATAATGTCTCTATCTTAACACTATGAGAACTTTTTCGTAGAAAAGAAAGAGTAAAGCCTTATCAATATTTTTCTTGTGAAGGTTTTTGACTCAAAACTATAATTTTTCACCTTGATAAAGTTCGAGTTGCTAAAGCCTGGTTAAAACGTCGCGCTTCTCATGTGCCTAACCTAACTCGAGAATTAAGTACATGAGGGGCGCGACGTTTGAATCAATTTGGTACGGCAGATTTAGTTAGGAGCGACAGACTAGTTTGGATCGGCAGAGCTTGCCGAGCTGCACGGCTCCAATACGGCACGGTTTCAAGCGTCGAACTTGTCATGTACTGAACTCAATGCATAATTATATTTGATTTTTTTTCCTTCCCAGAATTCATTTCTTTCTTGGAGGGCGCATGCGTTTCAAACAAATATTTGAGATTGCACGTCTTAACCAAGATACTTCATGTAACAATCCTAAAACCCATTTGGCGCGACATGATTAAGTTCGACGTTTGAAACAGGAGTCGCGCTAAACATGCTCAAGTGTCGCTCCAAACAGAGTTAGGTTCGGCACATGAGAAGTGCGACATTTGAACCAGGCCTAAATAGATCAATTTTTGGGGTAAAGTGAAGTGATCTCATAATAAAATCAGATTGGTTTTCTCTAATTAACTGATTCTTTTCATATGGATTCATAGTGTTGCAAAATAGGTTCACAGTGTTGCAAACGTTTTAATTTTTTGTGAATTAATGTCTTTTGCCAGGGGCGGACTGGCTCCAAATTCAGGGCCCGGGCAAATTTGTCGAGAAAGGGCCCCGAAATTCAAAGTAAGTTTACGGGTATCTTTCGTGAAAACATTTCTTAGGCTTCCTTCAAAGTCTATTGGAATATTGCTATTAGTTCTCATTAGTTACCACCATAATAGTTAAGAAACTCATAGACCGCCAAATATGAAAGTCAGTTATAATCGAAATTTGGCGTTGGGAATTTAAATTGGGGGTACTACAATCCTTTAATTTGGTCCACGTCATTTTCACTGTATTTTCCAGGGTTGTATTCTGACGTAGGATAAAGCCCTGGCAAAACGACTAAACATTTTACTAAACATTTCACTCAACTTTTGTTTAGTGAAGTTGAGCGAAGTTTAGCGAGGGTGGCAAAACGTGACTAAACTTTCAATAAACTTCACTCAACTTTTTTGAACTTTGAGCTGTATATGACGCTGTTGGGTTGTAGGGGATCTTGCATAGGAATTTGCTTTTGGTTCATTTTGTTGCATGCACAAGCAGTGGATAAAAATAAGAATTGGATGAAGCGACGCGGAAAGAAAAGATTTTTTAGCACAATGACAACAAAGTTGACTGTTGAAGAAGACACAGTGGCGTACAACGAGATATGCAGATGTCTCATAAAGGCTTTTTAGGTCACGTAGAGACAGGAAAACCAACGAAAACAGACAAAAACCTTTGGATTTCCATGGCTAGAGCGCCTGCGCGATCACAACAAATGTTTAATTGGTGGCAAAACGACTAAACATTTGCTAAACAACACTAAACAAGGCTAAACATTTTTGACCAGGATCAAACTTTGCTCGACAACACTCAACACGACTAAACAGCACTAAACAGGGTGGGAAAACGACTAAACTTTTCACCAAACTTTTGGCTAAACAAAAGTTGAGTGAAATGTTTAGTGAAATGTTTAGTCGTTTTTCCAGTGAAATTTTGTTCCAGTCATTTAGTGAAATTTTGGCCGAATTCAAGAAATAGTTTGAAAATATGACATTATAGGGGTGGCCACAAAATGCATTAAAAACATCAAGTTTGACCAAAGGAGGATCCTAGGCAATGCCTGTTAGCTTTATTTTACAATAATTTCCATTGTTCAAAGAGGCTTGATTTTGACATGACAATGGGAAAGAAGTTGGAGTTGGTTTTATAGTAAACCTTTAAGCGTCAGAATAGGAACAACGCTTACCAACGAGGAATGAGTTGGAAAAAGTGCAAGCGATGCAAATATGGAGAGTCTGAGTCATAGGAGCTGACTCTACGATAATCTGGACTGAAACAAGACAAAGCTGGGTAAAAATAGAAGGAAATGGAAAGAGGTTTCAAGTGCAACAAAAGTAAGCAACATCTTCAAAATGTTCTGCGAAGATTTCTTTCTCGAATGAGCATGTCAAAAAGGCTAAGGCTCTAGCTTTCTCTTCCTTGCACACCTATTTGTGGCTAAAGATGACAGTTTTTGACCGGTGAAATATGTTCGAGAAAAGCCAATCACCTCAAACTTTCTCAGTAATTCCAAAAAAGGCCTTCCTGGTGATACTTTGTTCACAATTACCGACAACCAAGATCATAACCTCAACTTTAAGCGACAAATGGAACATTTCCGACACACATAACTTTAAACAAATTTCTAAATGCAACAATAAAAAACCCTGGCTTGCATGTAGAAGACAGTAACTAATTGTTCTCATTCAGAAATCTCCAAAATTAGTTTGTCAAACTATGTCTACATTTCTATGAGCATTAAGCCTGTAATGCATTTTAGACTTCCAGTTGCATCTTTTCTCCTTTTCTTGTTCAGTTTACAATGGCAGACATATGCTGGAGCAAAAATTTTGTTCCAGCTTTCTATGCGTTACACGATTCTTGTCTGATCGAAGCACAAACAAGGAGGGGGGCTGAGCCCTCCGCTGTTTTGATGTTTATTCTAAAATCTATCTGGTTAGCATTAAAGTATTCTACTTTTCTAGAAAATGATTCAAAAATCTGCCATATCCTTGCAAACATTGAAACTGACATGTGTAATGGCAAGAGAAGAGGGCCCCTACTAAACAATCCATGTTGCCATTTCATAGCAAAATGAAGAAAAATTGCAACAATTTTTGGAGGGCCCGGTAGCCCGACCGGCCAGTCCGCCCCTGTCTTTTGCTAAGCCATTGATATTTATGAACAATTAAAATTTTCTTTAACTAAACATTGCAACATTAAATTGCCTGTATATCTAGCATGAACAAGACTAGTGGTTTTTAGTAACTCAAGTCTTAAAGATAAATTTTAGAATATCAATTCAACATACTTTATGCCTTTTTAAAGATTATTGTGAATTGATGACTTCTTTCACAAATGATGCCGTTGCAAACTTGCTTCACACAAGAATGCCGATTCAAACTTTAAAATGGTGATATATTTTAAAAAGTGACTGTTTTAGTAGAACAGAAGGTGGTCGGTGATAAAGCCACAAACTGTAGCATAGTATATGATCCAACAACAGTAATTTTCTCCAACTTGCCTTAGCCTCTATTCCAATCCCCTTCTAGCCTCGGGTCTGTTATTGTATACCATAAATTTTCTTTTAAGCCCTCCTCTCAATTAACCCCCACATTAGTCCCCCTCTTTCAGAAGGAAAACTTAATAGGCCCCATCTCGATTTAGCCTCCATCCCAAAGCAATTTTCACTGATGCCAAAATATGTTAACTTTACAAAAAACGGAGATTTTCATTTTATTCATTGGTCGTTCAATACTTCTCATCAAATCAAAATTCACGTCATGTTTACCACTACAAATGATTTTTTATTACAAAATATTTATTAAGTCCTCTCTTTCAATTTAGGCCCCTTCTATTATAAGGCCCTCTTTCAAATGCTGAAAACAATATTTTCTCATGTGTTACTTGGGTTGTGTATCACATTTCGATAACATCTTAATTTGCAACTTGGAGGGAAAAATTTTAAGTGTAATGGCAACAGTTTATAAAATGACTGAAAACAATCCAGACGTAATTTGATCCATCAAAGATCTACCAAGAAAAGATAACAGATTCATATGAGCTTCATCATGGGTATTAAAATTTAAGATTAGAAATACTTTTTTACAATATCAAAGCAAATAAAACACGAATTATGAAAAGTTTATAAGAGTTGCTCATTCGTCTAACTAGGCCCTTTGAAACAAATACCTGACTAAAAGTTATTTCCTTATTTCTTATTAATTTATTACTAAAGTCATTTGATTGTGAAATTTCGGTGTAACTCTCATTTTTCTTTCTTCCAGCATGTTTCTTTTTTTCTAGACGGCTTGCAAATTTTCTACAAAAAACCATCTACAACTTAATATCAACTACCTTTTTTGGCGAAATTTGGGTTAGAGGATTTTTTAGATATCTCATTATTATATTACATTAAATAGCTATTAATGTTGATATCGCGATCAAAACAAATCTGAATAAAGGTAACTGAACCAGTTTTAGTTCGACACGAATATTGAATTTGCAAATTCTTTTGGGATTGTCAAGGTAAATTTAAACGTCAAATATAAGCACAGATATTTGTGAATTGTTCGGTTATTTTGAGTTTTTCGATACTGATTTACTGACATTCAGCCTCTTATTGCAACACACTTAATCACAAAACTTTTGGCTGTACAAAATGCAGTGAAAAGCCATCTCTTGTTCTTTTTATCATTCGATCACGCAATAAGTTTTTTCACAGCTCATCTATCGTTCAGAATTGCTATTTTTCTCATGGATAAACAAGGACATAACTCTTAAGTAAATGATTTGACCTGCAAGATGTTCTTAAATTGACATTTCCTAGGAATTACAAACAATGTTTATCTCCGGCCGGCTGTAAAGCTGTTATTAAATTCACGATAGCAAGACAGGGCCTTTGCAAACTAATATGGCGCAGAAGGACCCGATTTACTGGCAGCAAAATACTTTATCAATAAAACTGATATCATTTTAGGGTTATTTATCAAAGACAATACAATACCTATATTCTAAAAAGAGCATTAGTATCAATGATTTTTTGATGCACTGTAAAAAGACTTACAAACGAAATCTACTTACATTATCTAATGATTTATGTCTTTGCAAAATCGATTCGGAGAAGCAACTCTTGATAAAACCACTATCTGCCTCTTTACTACAATACTTTTCAATAAGTCCAAAGATTGCAAAGTAAAACATTTGAAAAGTATTTACTTTGCTTGGATTTTTAGTCCATAGGCATTCATTTATTTGTTATTGAAATTTCCTCAAACTTTCGTTTGATACAACAGTCTGCTGCCACTTCTGTTTGATATTTTCAATAGAAGTGGAAATCATTTGCAGTTATATATATATATCTATATATAGCATTATGGCATTTAATGTTGTTGCGGTTTGTTATTTATTGAACTAAAGAAGACTGTATATCAATAGACAGTTAATGTTGTGCTAAGCTTGAGAAAGTCAAAGAGTCTTCTTATTTACCATCAAGGGTTAATTTAGTATAAAATAATCTCAAAAGGGCGTTTTCAAGAGAAAAGTAGGGTACCCCCCCCATCTTTCAAGAGAATGATGTTTTTAATTTCTAGCTGTCAAAACTATCTAAAAAGTATCAGCCAACTTTTCTACAGTTATTTGATTTATAATGAGAACGAGGTCATTATACTAAGGAACATAATTTAACCTATCATATGGAAGGGCGCCCATTTGTTAAAAAGCCAACTAACGATAACTTTTCTCATAAGTATCTCACTCTAAAACGCTAACATTTTGTACTTCTTAGCGGAAGTTTTATCTTAAAATGCCTTTGGATCAGAGGTGCCCATAACAATCGGTTGGTTCATGTAGCGTTCTACCAAGTCAAGAGTTTGCACTCGAACATAGTTACACTCATTGAAAGGGCTTTTTCGGCCACTATAATCGGTGTTGAAAGAGGTGGTAATATCGAAGCACCGATCTATGGCATCCCTAGTTTGGTATCAGTACGTTATACAACCTTGACACATTAAATATCATTATAGTAAAAGCGTTTCTGAGATGTTACGGTGTAATTCAAAGTGTCATGTTATTATTAAGAACTACAATCGAGCCCTTCGGGTAGGGCTTGTTTGAAGACTTGAGGTAAGTGCTTAAACCCTTTGAGGGTTGGTTAATTTCGTTCTAACGGTTGACATATTTCTAAACGTTATGAAATTCATTAGGCAAATTCTATAAATGAGCAAGCTTGTTCATGTAACATCGACTGTGAATTTTGTAATTTTGCTTAGGCCATAAATACCTCCACTGAACGACTGTTAGAGGATTCCTTTTCTTTCTCTTGGTATATTTTGTGCCGATCTTCTGGAATTTGATAATTCAGACTGTATGTCATCCCAGTTGGTTTGCAATATGGGCTTGTAGAGAAGTTCATGTTCTCGTGAGGAATCTGGCGAAGCGAATTGATACAAAGAACCAGCATCAGAACATATTCAGTAAAATAAATATAGAATGTAGACCCAATGGATAAATAAAAAATAAGACGAAAGTAAAAAGGAAATGATCCGACAGAGATACATATACATCTTTCTTTACTAAAAAGAAACAAGGCTGCAGAGGTTAATCCTAAAAAAGGTCTTCGGCAATATTAGTTCCATTAGAGGGAGAGAGGTCGAGGGGGAGATTAAAAGACTTTTCGCGTGGAATTTTTTTCGAAAAACAATTTAGCCGGGGTATAGCGAGTGAAAGATAGCAAAGAATGTTTTGAATAATTCACGGCCTCTTTTGAGAGTGGAACAGCCTACAGTGAGGTTTTATTGTTGTAGTAAGGGACTGTTCTTTCTCTGCAGGCTTCGAGCGTGGTTTAAGAAGCAGATCCAAGACAAGTAATATAACCAGATACTTTTTGCTTTAGGCAGCCTTTACACCAACCCGAGTTAAACAAAAACACGTTAAAATGTATTCGTTTTGGAAACAGGTCAATGGAGTCGCCAGTTTACTTTCAACTTGTTTCAGTCCGTTTTTGACCTTTTCCACAAAGATCAATTAAGCGAACATGGTTTGAAAATATATCATTAGCCTTACATCTTATAGTGAATCAGATTTCGAGTGTTAAAGACAGAAACCTTAGCACGCAGGCTATGGGAAATATCAGTATTTGCAACGATAGTACTTGAATTTTCTTGTAGAATGATATCCAAAAATATATCCAGGTTTGGCCTTTTCACTCCGGGATAAAAACTTGTCTATTCTGAGTTAGTTAGTAGTAGAAACTAAGTTAGTAGAAAAGCAACCCACAAACTGAAAACTTTAAACCAATCTGTGTTTAATCCAAGGCTGGTGGAAAGGCAGACTTAGAAATTAGTGGGATGATGAGTGGAAAATAAATTATGTTTGGCAATCCACGCTCGGGGCTAATAAAACCCTGATGCAAAACAACCCATGGAATGATTCGCAAAAAGTTCATCAGCACAGCGCTTTAAATAATCCTCAGTATTGACTTCCTCCCATTAGCATTACCTAATTATTAATTTCACATCGAAGGGTTTAAGGACGTGTTCCTAGTTAATTATACAGTTCATTTGGTTAGTGAAAGAAAGTTAGTGGGTCTAGTTCTATCTCAGGGGCTGATAATTCTATCCAGGAGACCAATCAGTCTGATTGTCGTTATTGGCTACGAAGGGCTTTCGAGATAAAGAAAGCAATGCATATTTGATATTCATCAAACTGTATCTAACCCAGAAATTCACTTATTTTATATTGGAGCAAGATTACTGGGAAACTTGGCGCTTTGCCATGCCTGAGACAAAGCAAAACAAGATTGTTGCAACCACTGTAATTTGAACAAGTCACCGTAGGATTCGCTTGAATTGCAACCTTCAGTGTGATGTGAGACTTGTTTGCTCGCCAAAGATGGACCTTTGTCTTTCACTAACATCTTTCCTAGCCAGAAAAACCTTCTGGGAGGGGGGGGGGGTTGGTTGGTTGGGTGTTAAAGCCTCAAACTGTAACAGTATATAACATAGCCCACACTACCGGGGAGGGGGGGGGCGGAGGGTTAGATTTTGGTAAGAAAAGTATTTCCAAAAAGGCTCTGTTTTGAAGCACTGAATTCAAATAGAACTTAGCCCCTCCACCTTGAAACTCGTGGCGTGGACCCTACATGACCCAACAATGGTATTTTTCTCAAACTTGGGGAGTCTTAGCAACATGTCCCCTTCCGGACGTGGGCCTGCATCTTTCGCTAGATTAATCAATGCTGGGTCCTTGGTTAAAACGTTTTCACTTCCTGGATGTCAAATGCTTTTGCTTTCATCAGGCTTAAATCACATGGTGTTGAGCCTCCTAACGTCTTAAAATAACAATAAGTTCTTTTTTATTAGTCATATACGTTTTATCAAAGGCAATATATCATATTATAACTTTAATTAAAGGGTTTTAATTAGCTTGCATTTAGCTTTAGCTCTTAATGTGTAACGTGAATCAATCAAGACACTTTAAACTATAAACACACCTATGGATGGCCTGCATTGCAAAAACTAGCAAACAATTGATGCGTTGGACTGTAATGAATGTAAACAGAATATTTTATTGGATACAGCAATGTTTTCTTTATTGAGGATGCACTGAGATAAGAAATACAAGTTAGACATTCATATCTGCTAGCCTTCGTTCGTGAGCAAAGTTTAATAATTTTCTAAAAATGAAAAATCTTACCATTGGGCTAACATATGGAAATGGATGTGCTTGAAAGAATTCTCCATGAGGGACTGTCGGCGATAAGTGAGGGTAGTGCCCGTTTACGACAGTCGGAATTGCGGGGATAATAGGCAGGACCATGCTATTTGAGCCTGTCGGCGACAATAACCGATGCCCTTGCTGAATTGGAAGAGGGCTAGTAGGAATAAAGTTGTTGCTGTTATTGTTGTTGTTGTTTGTGCTGACTCCGTTGCTTGTACATGTGTTATTGTTATTGACTCGGTTTAAATGTTGGGCTGCCATTTGATTGGCCTGACTCGTTGCAAGCATCAGGCTCATGTCATGAATGGAGCATTGGAATACTTCTATGTACCTTTCACCCATGTGTTTCAAATGCAATTCATTTGCAGCTTTATGTGCACTTTCAGCTGACTTTAACTGAACAAACGACTCTCCAGATGGTCTTCCCTAAAAAACACGTGAATCAATCAATTAGTGATGTCTACAAATAATTTCAAAACAGTCTTGCAAAACCTAAAAGCTTTTGCCAAGTAATGCATCGCAAAGTGTACAGTACAGGTACAAAGTATCGAGGAGTCAATAATTTGAATTTAACCACTGCGGTAGAATCAACGATTCTGTGGTTTGAGGGCATTGAGCCAGCGTTTCACGGTAATTGCAAAAACTACATGGTAAAAGTAAGCGCTCAAAGTACCAGATCAGCGTCATATCTCCCGAAGTATTCAAGCAGCAAGCAGTCATTTCTTTCTTTTCATGGGCACAAGTATCGAAGGCCTACCGACTTTCGACCTTGTGACAAAATTTATGTGTTGTTTAAAGATAGAGTCTCCCTAAAAGTTTCAAAACCACCCCTGACTTTCAGCGACTTGGCCCCATTCCAATAGCGACCTGGCCCCATCCCGTGGGGAAAACAATAGCCTTCAAAAATAACTAAGGCTCTGGCCATTAGAGGAGAGCCTCCTTGTCAGATAATATTGATACTTTGAACAAGTGACAGGCTGAAAATCGCAAATTTTGTCTAATTGTTTTCCTTGAAGCCAAACCGGGAAGACCCACCTCAAGCCTGTGGCCTAGTAAAACAAGTATTCGGCTACAAGTCGTTCATGCAAAGCAAATGGTTTCAAAGCTGCAAGAAAACGGCGAAGGAAGCCTCGATTCCCCCATGTTAATGGAAACCTTTGTGGCTTGGGCCCTGATAAACTGGAAATTAGAAAGATTGCACTTGTTTTTGAAAAAATACTTAGCTATATTTACTTGGTATATGGATGGCCTAGGAGTTTACAAAGTATGTTTTTAAAGAAAATCATTTGAATGTTTTAGTGATTATGGTAAAAAAATTCAAGAAATAGCTTCAACTGGACTTGGAAAAAAGATGGAGAGAGTTGTTTTTCAGAGTAAAGAATGGAGAGATCATAATTAAACGGATATGCGGTTGAAAATAGTGTCACCTCGTATGCGGGTGAATAATGACGCCAGTGAATTTTAAAGAAAAAATCAGAAGAAGGGCAAAATATGAAGAAGTTGCTGTAATTAAGTTAATACTTGAAATATAAATGAATATATAGGGAGAATAAAACTAAAATTGTGTTTGTTTAGGGGCATGCCCCTGAGCCATCACCCCCGTCGGCTACGGACTTGATATATAACCTAAGCAAAGCCTTGAAGGGAATTAAATCGGATTAAAACTATCCTCAAGTGACATAACATTTTATCCTTGCAAGATTGTTGTTTTGTTTTGATGAACTGATGGGTTAGCAAACTGGGACAGTAATATACCCAAAGATACCCATGGTGACAAACATGGGTATTGGTTTACAAAAGCATAAGGATTTGACAACCAAAACATTAAAGACGCCCTCAAAACTGTACCTAACTTCCAGACTAGTTGCAGAAGGGAAGGAATTACGACAGATTATACCACTTACCTGCAGGTTGTAAATGATGTGAACAGTGCCAATAACTCCTTGAGAATGATGTCCAAGAAATGTAACGATGTCATCTTTGGTGGCTGAGAAAGGCAAGCCCCGTAATCTAAGGCAGGACATAGTCATCAGGGATTGGGCTCTTTGATTTGCTCCACCACGGTCCAATAGTCCAAAAGAAAATGTCCCAGGCAAGGGTGACAAAGGCGGCATCAGGGGCGAAACCAGTCCAACAGGGCTGACAAACTGGTAGCCGACGTTGTACATAGTTAAAACCTGCAATATTCACAACAAGTTTCGAAATTAGGCTGCGTCCAGCACCGAAATCATGTAGAATACATTGCTTTTTGGGTTGATTATTGTAGATAATGATATTCTGCAGCTCGCTTAGAAATAAAACCTTAGCTAAGACAAGGGCTGTGGTCGTCGTTATGGTTTTGACGTGGCTAGTAGCCTGGAGTTAAAAAAGGAATTTTGGTCGTTGGTTATTTGGGACGATAAGCAACAGAGCAGTTTGTTCTCCCAAACAGATAAATAATAGCTATCACATGACAAATTTTAGATTTAGGATAAACCAATGAACGACGACAAAGTATCATTAAGTTGATTAAAAACAACGATTTAGGGAAAGAGATTGAAGAGAAGAAACTTCGATTAATAGAAAATCGACATTCGCACAGGCAACATTCAACAGAAATAATGGCATATTGAAAGTTTGCAGAAGAAGGGCAAAATAAAACATCGCAAACATAGAAAAATTATAGCGAAAAGTTAACAGATAACTCGGGCTTTTCTGTTTGGCCCACAGACGTTTCATGTGCAGTGAAATCTCAATTATTTGAAAGAAACTTTATAATAAAAGAGACATCTAAACAGAGAAAAACAAATTTATCACAAATTTCTCGTTACAAAGATGGAACTACAAGGAAACTTCTAGGCAAAAAAAATCGCTACAACCAGATAGTAATTCACAAGGAACGGTTAAGTCTTTGCTACTGCTGATAGTTCCAGGAGCTGAAGAGGAAACGTAAGAGCATCTCAATAACATAAGAAAATTCCTTTCATGACCCCAAATAATTTCCAAAGGAAAATTATAAGCATCCTTTCCGAGTGAGCTTAACATAACTTCTTTAATTTGCCCTGAAATGATTTTAACTGTGCTACGGCCCTACTTTTTCCTGTGGAAATGGGAAACTTTCTGGACAGAAAATGGATAAAAGTGATAATTCGTTGTCTCAGCTCATCACTTTAATCTATAGAATATCTTTGTCACTTAATGCTTCAAAAATTGCTAACATGAATTAAAGGGTTTGAGTGACTTGCCATAAATTATCCAATAAATTCGTTGAATTTTAGAACTCTTCTTTTGACACAAAGTCTTAATTTACTTGATAACATAATATTTTTGCCAATGTTCTGTCGGGGAGCAAATTGTAAAAATAAAGAAAGATAACGAATATTGGAAGTACCCACCCCCGTCCCCCTAAGCTTATGACGCTTTAATGTATTTGTGTCATTCTTGTCGTGTGACAGTAAGATCAAATGACAAACGAGTATCTTTAGAAAGCCAAGTAGGACTAACAAGATCAGACAATCCAATAAATGCTTAAATATGACCAAATGCTCATCTGGCGGAATATTATGCAAGTTTAGCAGAAATTTTTAAGTCAGTGACTGGAAGGTGATTCGTTTCCACATTCAGCGAATTCAAACACCATTCAAGGTCATATTAAAATACAATTCATGACTGTAGCCTATCAAGATTTTCAATTCGTTAACGCCAGGAACTGATTTCTTTCAGGAGTATCAAATAACCCTTTCGAAACAAAAAATTTGACAATACTTTGATCCTTTTAGATAAAACATTTTGTAACAGATAACCTTTTCGAAATAAAACTTGGATAATACTTTGATCCTTTTAAATAAAACATTTTATAACAGATACAGTTTTTTATGTACAAATCAAAAACTAACAAAATATTTTTGATAAAGCATGTTATTCATAGCCAAAAAAGGCGCAGGGTCACCGAGTTCTGACTGTGGATGGCACTCACAATATACAGCACTTGGTTACACTTACCAACGAGGGAAACGAACACAATAATTTTTAAAAGATTAAAACGTACCAAAGGTGTGTCTTAAGATAAACGTCAGAAGCAATAAATTATAATTGAATTGATCAGTGAGTCAAGTCAATTCTACAGACCTTTCCAACGTCTAGCCCTAGCAGACCTTTAAGAAGAAAGATAATTTGAAATCAAAAGGAAAAATAAAATAAGATAAAATGAAGGACACATAAGGCTGCTGCTGTTTTGATTCCATTTATCCCTTATCAAACCGGGGATAAGGGGCTATTTTCTATCACATTACAACGGGGATTTCCAAATAAAAGAAGATGTACAGTTGGTTGAAGCTGTAGAATAATAAAAAACCAAGTTTTAAGAAAAATTAGTGGGATGAAAAATAGCTTGAGGATCACCACAACAAGATACTACATGCTAAATCTATTTGTGTATTGCTATGTCATGAGATTTTTATTTAAAATTTCTTTATCGATTCCTACATTTTTTTAAGAGTTTGTCACCTGAAAAAGCTCACTAGATTTGCAATATATCTTTTGGACAAGGAACTAATTTTCACCTTGCAAATAAATCTGCTAGAATACTAAAAACAAATTTGGTACGCAGTTGAAGGAAAATGATTCTTGTAAGGAAATAAAAAAAATTCTTAACATCAGCGGGGAGAAATATGAATGCTCTTGAGCGAGTGACAAAACTAGGGTAAAAAAAAAACACATTGGCTGAAATCGTTGACTGCAGACTTGTTAGACTTTGTATTTCATTAGAGCGAGAATCGAATATTTTACGTTGATTTAACTTTGATTTAGCTGAAGATTTAATCTAAAGAAACCAATGAAAGGTCTTATGGAGATAATATATCACGCTGGATGCATTTTTGTTAAGAGAGTAGGTAGTTCAAAATATTTAGACAATCTAGGGCTGTCCCAAACAATATCTGATACAACTATGAAATACGGCTTTATTTGATTCTGCTATTTTGATAAATGCTATTTCTGTGGCTTATGGAAACGCTTTGACCTACATTAGAGTAGCTATGAATGAAAAACTGGTTCTTGGAAGAAAGCTTACGATGATCAGTCTTAGGGCCCATTTTATTCAAGATTTATGTACAGTTTTCCAAGTTACGGTTATTGCACCTGAGTCAATGATTGGAGAAAGATTCTTTTGATCAGAAATTATAATTTCTTCGGTGCGAGGATGACTCAGTTGTTAGTGGCGCTGACTGCAGACCCGAGAGTCCGTGGTTCGAGTCCTGGCATGACCAAACTTTAACCCAGAGTGAGGAGAGTCGCCAGCTCTCTATAATTCCAGACAAGGAATCACGAGGTGTGGTCACATCGATAAGAAGGACCAGGGCACTGCTCAATAAGCATAAGCATCTCAGTGTCCTAAATAACTACCTTCGGATGTTGGGTAGAAATAAATACAAATTATTGTTTCTTAAAAATTTCATGAAAAATAAATTGATGAAGTCTAAAATGTGTTTCACTACCAGGAGGTTTTGGTACAAACGGATCAATCTACGTCTGCGATGCTCAGACACGGAAAAGCTGTTAAAATAAGCATTCCTTGGAGTAATACTGACAATAACATCACCCTGAACAGAGCAAGGAATAAATTGTGTATAAAATTCTGTACAGCTTGGTTTATTTTGACACAGAAATAAATAAGTGGGAACAGTGATGTCGCTAGCATAACTGGATATATCCACCCCAGTTTTTCCACAGGTCGATTTTCTAATTTATCGAAATACCCTTTTGGGAAGGGGCTGGTCAAATCAATTTCCATTTTCTGTTCTTGAAACAAAGCTTCCGTTACGAAAAATGCTGCTTGGAAAAGCTGATTTGCGTGATTATGAAGGGCGTGGTCGAGAAATCTATTCTTCTACCCCAGATTTTTCGGGCTGGTGATGGCAATGAATGGAAAAAACAATGTTCATTTTTGTACAGTTAAATTTTCTCAGAATAATTCAAGTATCTATCAATAGAATTTACTGAGAAAATCTTCTTCATACTTAAATAACTGCCTACTTCTTTGAATGTTTGACAGTGTGCAATGCTGAGTTTAATGATAATGAAAAAGTTAGTTCCATTATAGGTAAAAACTTTGACCAAAATTGTGCAAGTTAAAAACGACGATTTAGTAAAATAAAAAAGAAATGGAATGACATACTTAAAATTGCCAAACAAGACCTAAAATGTTCGCCTGTCTTTAGAAATTTACAAGTCAAAGGGCTCTTCAGAAATATGTACGGGGGCTCCTAATGAGCATCTGCAGACAAACCTCAAAGCCTCTCTCTTTGTTCCATTTCGCTCTGCCTCACTGCCTCAAAGCGTAAGACTAATTTTAAATAACAATTTTCCTCAAGAAAATGTTTCATCGACTTTTACCACCCTAGTTCTCTGTATTCTACCCATTTTGTGATAAAAAATTCACGGATCTGATAGAATAAATCAATTCTTTTATAAACAAAGATAGATTAAGATTGGTTTTCGAAATTGGACCGTGAAATGTCCGTTCGCTGGTGACTTATCTCGCTGCGGGGGAAGTTACGTCAATTGTGGCTTGATAACAACGCATGTTTACAGAGCTTTAACTGTATATCAAGCAATCTTTTTAAAGAGATGGAGAAAGAATTTCAGTAGACACAGGGAGCAAACCGCTATTCGCCAGGTCAGAAATAGGGTGTCTTTATTTCTAAATTTTCAAGGCTACAAATCCGATGGAAGACAATAGCCCTGGTTGTCAGAAATGCACGACGTAGTGATAGAAAAATTACAGCTGTAACCTTTATTTCTATTTTTAAACTGTTATCCCTACAGAAAAAATGTTTCTACTGCCAACTTGCCATGTCTCAAAAGATGTGAATCCAGAATCAAAGTTTAGTAACAATGGACGGTCTTGATAGTAATCTTCTTTGCAGACTCCATACAAAGCTTTCAATTTTCTTTTTCCAAGACTTATGCAGTACTGTTTGCTCTTCGCACCAGTGACTTCAGTCGTCAGTGCTTGAAACCAACTGGCCAAAATTTGAGAGGTGCTTCACACAAAGCCTAGCTATTCTTCCAAGAGGGGGACACGTAGCATAGTATATTTGTCCGACGGGAATGTATCGCTTTTCAGGGTATTGTCTTCACGTACCATTCCGGTGCTCGTTTTCTTTATGCTAATTTTTATATATCTGCTCTTTTGCCG